GGGAAGGTTCTAGTGTTGTTTTGCACGTAGCAACAAAAAGTGGATCGAGCAGGACTTAAACAAATTGGAATGGAGAAAGATGTAATATGGCTCCTAGGCGTCGGGCCAGTGGTGCATAGGCTCCAGTCCATCCCAAATTGAGCAAACTCTGGAGACGACAGAAAGTTGGTGCTACCCCTTGGGCTCCTAAACGCTGCCACCGGCGCATAGGCGTCAGTCCTTTGTAAACATTTTTTCAATTTAGTGGCGCCTAGGCGGCAAAACCCGAAATTTGACAATTTTGACATTGAAGGGAAAAAATATAAAATGCGGGAAGATGAATTTAAGAGGGCTTTTTTACCATTTTCTTCTAGCATTTCAGGGAGAGAATTTGCAGGAAGTCGCACAATTTGCAAGGAGATTATGAGAGAAGAAAAGAATGTTTGTGAGGATTGAGAGAGTTTATTGCTTATTATTGGAGACATCTTTATCCTGTTTTATTGTGAAGGAGATAATACAATTAAGTTATATTTTATTGAAGATTTCTTTGTAAATACTTGGTTTTTGATGTTTATTCATAATACTAAGTTTGTCTTGATGAAAGTTGTCATGAATAGCGAGTAGTTTTCTTGTTTCTCTTTAATTGAGATGGTGATTGGATATGACAAGGGATTTGAGATTGTGTGGGCTTTAATTTGAGTTTAAAAGTGTTTTGTTAACTTGAGAATTTAATTTACTTTTTTCTTGGTCTTTGTGAATATTGATATTCAGAAAGATTATTTATGGAACAAAAGAGTTAACAACGTGAATTCATTGGAACAGGGATATTGTCATTGGATTCATGCAATCTTCTACGAGACATTTTCTTATGACATTTCAAGAGTATTAGGGAACTAACTTAAGATTGTTATTCTTCCTTGGACTACGGAAAGAGATAAGGAAGAATTTTTCTCTTGATTGGCACTAATTTTCAAATCTAATCCTTAGTCATTTCCATCACTTGATCAATCAAAGAGGGAAATTCTTAACCCCTGATTTATAAGAGAATCATTTTGCTTGTTAGAATGGACCAGTTTTTCATGGCTTTTGAATAGGATTAGATTTGAACATGCAAATTAAACTCTTCAGGTTTAGGCTGAAAATTGTAGGCTAGAAATATTCCTTAGAATTTATCTTGTTCCCTGTGGGATTGACAACCGGACTCAAACCACCGTGCTATTGATACGCGGACTCAAACCACGGTGCTATTGATACGCCACGTATACTTTGCATAAGCCGCCCGTACTTTGCAGTACGCGTTGTGTGTCAATATATCCATAATAGTGTTGGTGTAGCTCTAGAAACAGACAAGATTATAAAGTCGTCTTCGATGGTTTAATTACATTAAACGCCGTTCATCAAATGGTTTGATTAGGAGAGTAGATATTTTAGATTTGACTTATGTTAAGAAAGGCAAAGGTAGATGATGTACCTAAAAATGTATTATTTTTTATGCTATACTATTAATACGTCACGTATACTTTGCATAAGCCGCCCGTACTTTGCAGTACGCGTTGTGTGTCAATATATCCATAATAGTGTTGGTGTAGCTCTAGAGACAGACAAGATTATAAAGAATCGTCTTCGATGGTTTAATCATATTAAACGTCGTTCATCGAATGATTTGATTAGGAGAGTAGATGTTTTAGATTTGACTTATTTTAAGAAAGACAAAAGTATATGATGTGTCTAAAAATGTACTATTTTTTATGTTATATTTTATAATGATATTGCACTTTAAAGGTATGTTTTCTTGTGTTTTTGGTTGTAGGTACATCAAATTGAAGAATTTGGAGTGATTGGAACAAAAGGAACAAAAATGGACCAAAACGGAGAAAATCAGAGCAAATTGAGTCGAACCGGGCACACCGAAGCCATGGGGGCCGAAACCAGGGACTTAAGTGTCTTTGCCCGGCGCTTAAGAGCCTAAAATGACGCTCAGGCGTGACCCTCAGGCGCCACCAGATAGAGAGGAGGGCGCTTAAGCACCCAAAATCGGTGCTTAAGCGCCAAAAACGGTTTTCAACATATCTTCTAAAATATATATCGAATTTGAACGATTTTTGAAGCAGTGCTTCGTGTGTCTCTTGAAGAATTCGTTGGAAATAATAAAAGGGACTTTCTAGAGGGATTTGGGGTGGTTATATGGACGTTTTTGAAGACATTGAAGAGACACTTGAGACACTATTTGGAGATTCATTGAATATGGACATTTCGAAGAGACACTTGAGCAACTCTTGGGAAATTATAAATAAAGCTTGGAAATGTTTTTAAAAACTAACTCTTGGACTTTTAAACTATTGGAAGAGGAGAAGAAAGCTTGGGCGAGAGCCCCAAGTGGGGCGACAAGGCGAGAGAGAAAAAGAGAGAGTGAGAGATTTGTTTATTTCTTTTCATTTTGTTCTTGGAGAGAATTGTAAGGAGATTGCTTTTGTTATACAAGGAGAGTTTGATTTCCATCAAAGATAAGTATTTCATTGTATTTTCATTTGAATCTAATACTTTGTTTGTATGGTTTCAAAGTCTTGTTCAATGAAAATTTTCTTTACTCTTCCCTCTTGTAATGAATTAGTATGCATGTGTACATTATAAAATTGTGTAGAGTGAGAATATATTGTGATGATTTTACTTTGTTCTTCATTTACATGTAAACTTGATCAATTTGCATGTTAAAATCTGTTGTGAGAACATGTAAGATCTGGGATGGTGTTGTCTGAAATGTGGTAGAATCACATGAGATTGTATGGATGAGTATGTAGTCTATATCTGTATGGATGAGAATGTAGTCCATATAGTTAAGTGCAAATAAATAGGGAAATAATCTTTGATGTTTTAGAGCGATAGCTACAGCCCCTTAATTTGGTCTATTGTTTTATGTTTTGATGCGAGATGTTAGCCTCCAGGTGGAGGAATAAGAGAGAACTAGAGTGTGAGTTATTATCTTCCTTGCCTAGCCCGTCTTATAAACTATTCAAACTTTAGATTAACTAATATTTTTTATAGCATCTCTAGTAAGAGTAAAAAATATAATTGCTCTTATTTGTTACAATCTCTCTCACTACTTAATTTACTTTTACACATGTCACTAATTTCATTACATGAGGAAGGGTACTTTTAATATATTAAACTTCACTTTCTAATTTTCACTAAGTATTTTAGTTTATGAGTAGAAGCAGTATTGTAGTGATAATTGTATGATATAATTAAAACGAAACCTTTATCGACCTTCCAAGCTAGGGCGTGTTGTTCTAGACAAGAACTTCTTTTGAAAACCGCTACGATTAATCTTGATCTCCGTGTGATCGATATTCGGGGCTTAATCAGAAAGCCCTATATTATTTGATAACTTGATAACGATATGTATACGATATGTATACTTGCGTAAAATCCCTATTATTTAAAAATATAATTGAAACCTTACTTTTCTTGGGATCAAATTTTTGACGTCATTAACGGGGATTAAAATCTTCAAAAAGTGGTGTCAATTTCATAAATCCTTACATATAAAAAATATCGGGATCAAGTTTTTGGCGTCGTTGTCGGGGATTAAAATCTTCAAGTATATGTGTCAACTTCATAAATCTTTACATATAAAAAATATTGAGATCAGTAGACCCAAACAAACGTGGGCATATTGTATAAAAGATGATCTTAATCTATTAGAATTAAATAAAAATATGACATTCAATAAGACGCAATGAAGAAAAAGGATTCATGTAGCCGACCCCACGAGTGAGATAACAGATTGTTGTTGTCTGTTGAACCTATTTAAAATTTGAACTTGGATTATATTGAACTTCAAATACATAACATTTCTTGTTTAGTTTAACGTAATAGTTATCACCCCATACTCTTACAAATATTTCGCAAAATACAATTATTACTTTTTAATGTCTTGCTTTGCTATGAGAAAATAGTTGCACTGGCATGTAAAGCCTCATGCCCTCAAGCACATAGCCACATCGTTTTTCAGAGTGCCTAGCACTTTTGACAACATTGAAATTACTCAAATTTGAATTAAACATTCCCAGCAGGCGATAGAAGTGCATGTGTTTTTGGTAGGTGACAATAGTGGATATTACTAGATTGATATAAATTAATAAACATTTATCGGATGAAATAAAGAAGAAAGAGTGGTGTAAATTTTGCTTAATGTCAATGACAAAATTGATGGATATTTGAGTATGCGAGCAGATGAAAGAATGGTGGCCTTTATAGAGGCTGCTCTTTTGGAGAAAATGAAATATTTTAGGGGGAAAACGACAAAAGATGGTTAATCTAGTTGACTAATGGACTAAATGTTCTTAAATTAACGATTAGATAAAATTTTCTCTAGCATACTACAATGCCACGCACAAAGCATCATCAATCAAAAAGAGCCCTTTTAAGTAATACAAATGCCTCCAATTATAAAATACCATTCAAGTTTACTCGAGGAAAATAAATTTGAACCAAACAAGAATTGTTTAGAAGCAATGCAAGTTAAGAACTGTTTGGCCAGAAATCACAGGCATTACCTGACAAATAATCATGCCATGCGCCATCATTTTGCAGTAAACTTGTGAATCAAACGTAATAAACAGATAAAACCTCCCACAATCTAATAGGACACAAAATTCATTAGTTATTATATTAGATTATAAAGCAATGCTAATTAATTAGTTAATAATGATTAGGTTTCTCTATTTGGAGCACATTGGGGCATGGAATGATGTGATAATTTCTTCTCCTAAAAATGCACACATAATAGGAGAACTTACCGCATTTCATTCCATTCCACAATGTGCTCCAAATAGAGCTATTTATAGAATACAGGACTCTTAATCATTCTACAAACTAATTAACATTGCTTATTAATCAAAAACAAGAACTAATGACTAGTGTGGCATATCTCAATCAATGTAAGAACAAAAGGCAACAAGAACTACATAAAAAATAGAAAAAAACATAAGAAAAGAGAATTAGGCAAGTAATCATCATACCATGAATGAGAGAATGGAGACTTCCGTTCGCCTGGTAATCATAAACGAGCAGCCTCTCCTCCTTTGCCTGGAAGAATGCACGAAGAGGAACTAGATTGGGATGCCGAAGCCTCCCAACTGCCTCCATATGCCGCTCAAATCCCTCTTTTCCAGCGACACCTAACTTTGTTGCATCCAATCTCTTCACGCACAATATCAACCTATTATCCAGCACAGCCTTGTATGTCGAACCCACGCTTCCTCTTCCCAGCATCTCCGCTGATGCCCGCATCAACTGCTCCATAGTGTATACCTGAGCCTCCCCTGCACAGAACACTAAGCACCCACTCTTCCCCAATCTCTTCATCTTCTCCTCCGTCATTGCCGCAGCTGCCACGAGCTCATTGCATCTTTCTTCCACCTCTTCGGCAGTGCTCTCTGCACGCGCCTCCATCTCACCATCCCCTCCACTCACATCACTAATGACGTTCTTTCCCATGCCTCTATTTCTCTTCTTCCGAACTACCAAAAAAACTCCTAGCAAAAGTATTACCAAACAGGAAGCACCGGCGAAGAACCCAGCAGCCATCACTTCCTTCCTGTGGCTTCTCTGAGGAGAAGCAGTGGCAGAAGCGGACCCTGGGAGTATGAAGCCATGCCGCGGCTTAGCTGGTGATGGAGCAGCGGCGCTGGTTTTGAAGAAGGGTAAGTCGGAGCCACACTCGCGTCGGACGACAGCACCACAGAGGCGACCATTTCCGGCGAACGCAGCCGCTCCAAAGGCAGAAAGTGCGGCCGTTACAGGAACAGGGCCAGAGAGGTCGTTGGCTGAGACATTGAAGATTCTGAGGGAAGACTGGTTGAGAGACGGGAGGGGACCGGAGAAATGGTTGGATTCGAGGCGGAGGGAGTAGAGGCGATCGAGGGAGGTGAGCCCGGAGGGAATGTGGCCGAAAAGAAGGTTGTGGGAGAGGTCGATGGTGCGGAGGCGGTGTAGTTCAACTATGCTGGACGGAAAAGGTCCTGAGAGGAGGTTATGGCCGAGAAATAGGGCTTTGAGGTTAAGAAGGGCGGAGAGATCAGGTATGGGGCCGGAGAGGGAGTTGGACTTGAGGCTAAGCAATCGAAGCTGATCAAGGCGTCCGAGAGTGAAGTTCGGCAAGGTTCCATTGAGGCCGAAACTCTCAAAAACGAGGCGGACGACTCTCCCGTCGGCAGAGCAGGATACGCCGGGCCAGCTGCATTGCCCATATGACGAACGGTTGGCGGTGGATAAGAAGCGGAGGTGGCTGCCGCTGGGATCAGCTGCGGATTTGAAGGATAGCAGCGCAGCGGCGTCGGAGATCGGAGACGTCGGGAGTGCGGCGGTGAACGCTATTTCATGTTGTGGAAGCAGGATCAGCAACAGTACATATAGAAGCAGCGTTTGGTGAAGCATTCTGAGAGACGGAGTCTGTATCTATCGGTTTCTTTCTGGCAGCTGCCGCGAGAGGAAGGAGAGAGTGAGTTCGAATAATGGAGTTACTGGGTTTGGCAAAACGAGACAGAAAGAAGAAGGAGGCGCTCTGCAACAAGCCGCATAGCACGTGAAGGACAGCGCTTGAAAAGTGTCGGACTAGAGAGTTGGGTGAGCAGGGTGGGGATAAAAAATTGGAAGATTTGCACACATGCCATATAACTTTCATGAATTTAAATGTCATTTCTAAACTTCAACCAACTGACTCATATCACTTATTAACAAAAAAAAAATGTAATAAAATAACTTTCACTTTGAAATGAATTTTAAATTAAAGATGAATTTTTTACAAATATAAACTTATGAATTAAAAATTGTCAGAACTATTTTGAGAAAAACTCCAAATTGAATGAAATCTCCACCAATAAATTAAAAAAATAAAGAAAAATCAATATATTTAAAATGTCTTTCATTAAATAAATGTTAATAATTTTTAAATAAATAGCTCATTAAACAAGTACAATAATTCATGAAATTTCAAATAAAATTAAAATGACTTGAAAATTTTAGAGGTTATTTAGAATCTGAATTTAGACATCTCTGAAAATTTTCAATGATTTTGAAAAACATTTGAATTTAATATGAATTTCAAACCAAAAAAAGCAATCATATTTAATATCAAATAAAATCCAGAAAATTCTAAAATTTAAAGTGAACCTTTAAAAAGAACAAACAATTGAAATTTTAAAATTTAGCGAACAACTATCCCAGATTCTATGGTTAGTGACAAGAATCTTTCAGTCAAATTTGGTTAATTGACTCCTCTAACTAAGTGAATAAGGGATCATGCAACCCGAAATGATTGAACCATTGGGTCTTAATCGAATTTTGTCATCATTTCCCCCACTTTACAAACACTACATTTAGACATCATAAAGCACTAATACTGACATTAGGATTAGGCTGGGTGAGGTTAATGTGTTGTGTTGTACTTTGTGTTTCATGCTTATTTGCTTATTAGAAATTTGTGTAGGATGAGTAAATAGCTTCATTTTCTTTATATATTGCATCTCATTTATAAGTTGGTCTAAGTTACTGTAGTTATCTTTACATGTTTCTAGGTTGTCATAGTAAGCTTAAGATGTGGTAACTTTATTTTGTAGAGCACTGTAGCAAACCTAGGTTTAATCATAAATCTTTAAAATATCCAAAATTTCTTTGTTTAAGTAACATAAGCCATCTTAAAGTGGTACTTCTACCTCTCGAGACATTGTATTACTTTTGATATCGTGTTTGATTATTTAAACAATCGAATCTTTGAATCTGTATGGTCCCTCACAACCCAAAATAAAATTGATATGGGCTTGTGATCTTATTTTACTTTATACCTGAATGAGAATTGCTTGTTTATCTTCAAGCTCTCCCTTATAGAGGCTCTAGGATTCACTGAATGGTTTCTCCTTCTAGTCTGCCGATGAATTACATTCCCCAGCCTTCATATATTTTCTATATTTAATAGTGCATATTGTAGAAGAAAATTTATAATATTTTTTTCAACAAAATATATGCTAAAAGCCTTGTATATGTATATATCAGTCCATTCATCCAATAATTTTTTGGTGCATATTATTGTCATGCTGATTTAAACGATTGGTCATGCTTTCTTAAGGATATTGCATTTAAGAGTAACAACTTTAAGTTGAAGTAGCTCTACTTAATTTTAATATAATTGTTCTTGTTTTGCATGGTAACATATGTGAAAAAAAGATACTTCTATCATAGCACTTAAGGGTAATTCCCAGTATAGTTTAGAACATATTAAACAATCACTGAAGGGTATGCACCAACAATCATTTCACACCAAATATCACAGTAACATAGGAAAAGAATAAAAAAAAATTATTGCACCTTAATCTTAGGATACCTAAGGATAGTGCATTTTATTGTTAGATTATTATTTGATGCACTAGTTTCATATGATTTTAAGAAGAAATTTAATTTATTTTAAGGTAGTTTCACTTAAATTTATTTGTGACATAATTATTTTATTTGTCATATAATTATGATAGGTTTCATAATTTATAAGGTTTATAAAGAACCCATTAAATTACCACTACTTTCTTTGAGACAAGCTTGTCGATCATGAAGGCATAAATATTCAAATGAGAATATTTGCATGATTTTTTTTAATATTCATTTTTATAAAATTAATTGTGATGATTGATTATATTGAAGTATTTGATATCATTTTTTTGAGTTATTATAAAATTTATCATTTTTATAAATATTATTTTTTCATTTATCACTCGCAGTAATTCATGATATTATGGGCTTGTATTTACATTGCCAGTAATAAATCATTTTAATAAAATTTATACATGAATTATTTTTATGAGCTCATATTTATATCTTCGTCATCGTCAACATGTACAATGAAAAATATTATAAACATTCCAAATGATTTTATATTAAAATAATTAAATTCATGTAATTTTTTATAGCTCAAAATATTTCATTAAAATTAAATTAAATTTAAATTAATGCAATTAAAGACATCTTTTTAGAGGGTCATGAATATTGGACATTAAAAAATTTAAGTTTAAGAGAGGACCATCCCATACAAAAAGGTACATAAGTTTGGAAAGTGCAATGGCTGGATTATATTATAAACATTTGTTTAAAATTCAAATTTGCTAATTTAAATTTTAGACAATTGATTTCATTTAATTTATTTTTACTATGCCAATTTTCCATGTTTAATTTTTTGTTTTAATTTAATATCTTCATGTACTCTTTAATCAATGATGATGAATGAAGCAAATTGAATTTGGTTTGCTCTTAGGGATCGCTTGGTGGCCCTTTTCTTTGGAGAACTTGGTGATTTCTTTGTAGAATAATACTTAGACCCATATTCTTACTTTTTCACAGTGACAATTATAATGGTCTCCCTCTAATCCACATCATCCTATTTTAACTTGGTATTAGAAAAAGGAAGATCCATTTGCATGGATTTGATTTTAAATTTGTTGATTCAGTAATCAAGTTGTGTTACTTTGGCGAGTGTGTCCATACTCAAATTGAAACAATTAATTTCATATTGTTTTTATCTATGGGATTGAATTTCTTTCTCTTCTTATTTTAATTGTGCACGCACACACATGCACGCACGCACGCACGCACACATGCATGTCTTCATATGCTATTTAATTAAGGATGACGAATGGAATAAGTAAATTTTGATATGCTTCTTAGCTATGGTTTGCTTTTAGGTATGGCTTGGTGGCCTTCTTCTTTGGAGAACTTGGTGGTTTCTCCATAAAATAATTGTTGGAATTGCGTATTTAATTTTATGCTTGGACGATCATGGTGATCCCCTTCCACCCCTCCATATCCTTATTCACATTCCACTTTAAAGATGGAATGATTTATCTTCATATCTATGAAGAACCTATGTATACTAATGTCTTTTGTGATGCATTTTGTGTTTGATTGTGGAGAAGGGGTGAATTTCTTCGGGTCAAATAAATATTTCTGAAGGTTTTATTTAATACCTTTTTCATAGGTGATATGTAGTTAAAAATTCGAAATTTAAGATTTAGAAATATAAATATAATAAGAAAATGAATGATATATATGTAAATGTTTCGAGAAATAAATCTCCTAAAAATGGAAAAATTATTGCATACATACACCACATGCAGAGATGCATGCGGTGTCTGATCCTGACTGTAGATCAGGATGCAATTAATTTTTTTTTTGAAAAATAAATAAATAAAATAGGGCCTACTGAAATATATCATAACCCCGTGATCTACGGCCAGGATCAGACATCGTATATATCTCTGCATGTGATGTATATATACAATAATTTTTTCTAAAAGTGATAAGCTAATATAAGGAGCTCTTCGCTCACTCCGATGTGGTTTAGCTGATTCCAATGGGACCTTTGTATTTAAATGTGCTTCTCGCTCCGCACAATTATCGGCCCTTCTTCCCGGGCGTGGATTACAAAGCTGGGCGTTACGCCATGCCACGTGACGTGGGCCGTATGCTTAAATCTTTCTAAAATGAAGAAGTGGGACATGAATTATAATTTTATAAAAATAAATTTCTTAATCAATGAAACATGAATTCTATGCTCTCGACTGGTATTTAATTTGAATTTCTCTTTTTATAAAGATGCAATAAATCTCGCATTCAATTTTTAGGAAAAAATTTGCATCATTTGAATATTATTTTATAATGTAAAATATCTATAAAATTTGTTTGGAGTGATTTTGAGAGATTTAATGGTGTAGAAAAAAAATGGAATGATGAATGAGGGCCCATCGAGAGAAGACCCTGATGCCTTCTGGTATAACCGAGTGAAGTTGTTTGAGTGAATGCTAAGAGACTCCAAGTGACACAGTCTAAAAAAGTGAAAGTGAGCGTTTTCCTATCCATTTTTCGCATATTTATAAGCCAAAAAAGTATGAAAAAGGACACCAAATTCCAAGAATTTTGAAAAAAAAAATTGAGATGAACCGCATGATTTTCTACAGATATTTGATCTGCGTGATCCCACGTCTCCTAACACCTACGATCATGAACGGTGAGCGTGATCCTCATGCCCGGGTTTGCAACTCTGTTATGACCCACTCTGGTTCGTGTCAGTTCCACACCATAATCACTGGCCTGTACATGCATAGCAGTTCGAGAAATCACCAATGCTAAACGACCAAACTTGGCTTGGCATCTCTAGTTACCATTTATGACCCATGACCTCGCATTGTCGCCCACTCGCCCCACAACATGAGACACATGAATCATGATGTTGTATACTAATGCACGACGACAAACAGTGTCGTCTGCAGACCCGCGACTAGGGTTGTAAACAAGTTGAGCTTGAGCTAGCCCAGGCTTGGCTCGTTCATAATTGCTCGTGTTCGAAATTGGCTTGTGAGCAGTGTCAGCGTTCAGCTCGATTTAAATTATCTGCTCGTGTTCGAAATTGGCTTGTGAGCAGTGTCAGCTAGCCCAGACCCACTCTCGTTCATAAAAGCAGTGTCGTGTTTGGCTCTTTCATTAAAATTAACTGGAAACAATAGATATAAGTTGTTGGATTCGAATCTGTATCAACTCTGTGCAGTAGAAGACGCAAAATCACATGACTACACGAGCATTCATGA